TGTGTGTGTGTGTGTGTGTGTGTGAATATTTGTGTTTAAAATAAGATATGAAGTTTGAATATATGAAATGAATGAAAATCCAAATATATGGAATGAACCTTTAATACATGGAATGAATGAATATATGGAATAGACCTTGAATATACTGAAAGAAAGTCAGAATATATGGAATGAAATCTGACGTCATCAAGGCACTAGCGCCATCTTGTGTTCCTTCTGTATGCTTGTATTGGATGCTGCAGCAAGAACACAGTGAATATGGGTGAGTCGGTGAGAGACATAGTGGTGGCAAATTTAAGGAATGAAGAATTAATGAATTAAATAACTAATTTCCACATTGGCTAATGCACGTGGTAATGTTAACCACACCCGATACCGCAGTATGGTATGAGGTGCCGTTTGTAAAATGGCTCGCACTGAAATTGACAGCAACATTATGCCACATTTCGCTTCAAACAATGTTGGTGAAAAAAAAGTGGTGTAAATTTTTTGAAGTCACTTTTTACCACATTTACAGCAATATTTGAAATATGTTAAATATCATGTCACAGTTAAATCTAAATATTAAATGTTAAATCTAAATGTTAAATGTTAAATCTAAATCTAAATGTTAAATCTAAATGTGCTTGGTGAAACTAAATATTTAGCCAATATGCAAATGCACACTGCCGGTCAGTGGAAGTACCAAAATAAAAGCTTGGGTGGTCATACAGAGGAAACACAAGATGGCGCTAGTGCCTTGATGACGTCAGATTTCATTCCATATATTCTGACTTTCGTTCAATATATTCAAGGTTCATTCTATATATTCATATTTGTATTCCATATGTACATACATATATATGTATATAAATGTATATGTACATACATATATGTGTATATAAATGTATATGTACATACATATGTGTGTATATATATGTATATAAAATGTAAACATTCTTTTAGACTGGTAGTCATAGAATAAAAAAGACCCTGGTGCACTACCCACTGCTCTGACCTGTCATACTGAGACAGTGGTTCAAAACAAATAAAATCTTTGCTGGGATTGTATCATTTTTCTGCAAAAACAATTTCATCAAAATAATTTCAAAGATTAATCCCTTAAATAAAATCAACAGATATTCTACACATGGTTTCTCCAAGATGTCACATCTGATTTTACAAATGCTAAAACAGATAATTATTGGTATGCCTCATGTGAACACAGAATAAAATATAATAGCTAAAATTACTTACAAAGTATTTGAGCTCAGAGTAGCTTCCCTCTGTTATTTCAAGGGTTGTTTGAGCTTGTTTGATATCAACAAGCTCCCACTCTCCTCTGGTATGTAGCACGTCCCTGGACTCCTCCAGGATCTCTGCAGCTGAATGTCTTTGATTCATCTTTATGTCTTCAGCTGGAATAAAATTGTAGGAAAGTTTGTTTATATTAGATGTCCAGTCTGTGTGAAATGTTACTTGTGATGCACCTGAGTACGGTGAAGTTGTCAACATGAAAGTTGAGGTCATGGAATTTTGTGCCCCAAAGATATTTAAATTAATGTATTTAATTTTACTTAATTTCATATCACTTTTGCGTTTGTAGTTTTAATGTTTGAAAATACATAATTTCTGCAAAAATAGCAATTAACCTCTTAAATTTGCAAGTGACAATTTTTAGTGTACTTCAAGTACAAATCTGCCATAATTATAATAAAACTGAATGTGAGGTGAAGGTGTAGCTTTGAGATCAGGTGTTATTTTGGTGTTATTTGTTGGACTTTGCGCAGGCTTACCAAAGTGCAGGTATGGTTCAAAGGTCAGAGTGCAGTTTTGGATATCAAAGGGGAAAGTGTAGATGACTAATTTGCAGGTGGCGATCACTCTGACCGGCCTATCATCATAAACATGACCTGTGTTGTATAAGTAGACATAAGGCGTTTTGGGAGATTTGTCCTCGTCCATGCTGGAAATGAACAGAATAAAAAACTCTTAATTGCACATTTATACTTTTAAAAGATAGGTTTTTATTTATTTGTTTGACAGGCTACGAGACCTTATTTTAACTTACAACTCATTGATGACGATGTCTGGGACCCAAAGCTGTTCTCGAGGGACAGAGACTCTTGTAGTTCCACATTCCTTCTCATCCCAGCTCAGTCCCGCTATATCCCACTCCTACATTAACCAGAACAACAACCATTTTAACTGTGTGTGCCATTTGTGTTTTCGCCCCTTGACGATGAGCAGTGTTGGAGAAACATTGATATTTTAATATGAACCTGCTTCATTCAGTGTTTTGACTTGACAAGGAAATGTACAGAAAATGTAGGGAAACTCTGACCCATACGCACGCACAATTTGGAGACAGGGGGAAACTGGCATCACAGATGGCGAGGTGATGAATTGAAGCAGATTGTGGAAATTCGATGTGAAAGGAATCATTATACTTATAATGATGTCTCACACACTTAAATTCACCTCATATCACACGTTTCTTATAGATCCACTTCATAAACATTCAAATGCAGCAGTGTTATTTGTGTTTGTGCCAGTGAGCCATAACTTTTTTTATATATGCAACTTTTGGTTGCAAAAGATGTGTCGTCACCTTAAATCTCAAATATTTCATTGCCACTGTCTCACCATCACATTCCCCACCACCACAGCACAGAGGAGAGGTTGCAGCCAGATTTCTTACAGTCTTCAAAAATGTGACTACATCTGTGTTCAGTGTGTGCTTTTGTAAAGAAAAATTTTGTCAGTGCTCTGAACACTTACCAGGTATTGCCATATGAATACTGTTAAGGTCTGCTCTTTTTCATTCTAGGGATGAGACACATACAGTTGATAATGATAATTAAAATTTACTCACAGCATGTGTAGTTAAAAAAATTATGCATCTGTATGTGCTGTCATGAATAGATTTTTATGCAGCTCATAGACTCACCACTCCTAAAATTCCCACTATAGTCATTTCGATGGATACTTTCAGTACATCTGTAAAGTTTCCTACAGGTCGAAATAGTTTTCTTGGAAATAATTCTGTCTCAAGTGCATCAAACAAGGCCTTAGGTGTTGGGCTGGTGCAGTTCAATGGTGCAACAAAACCTGTGTTTAAAAGAGAAAGAAGATATCTACATTAATACATAGTTATCCCAAATAAAAGTATTTTTCCTTCATTTGTATTTGCTCAAAAGCAAATCTTTCTTTGTATGCTATACAGAGTTTTGCTAAGACTTCATGAACTGTTCAACAAAATGCTTCATATCATCTACATTAAAATACATTGATCCATGTTCAACACTCACATCCACACATATATCCAAACATACATCCTGTCAATTGCTCTGTTTACCATGCACTCTCTCTGCTTGTGATTGCAGATCCAGCCACTCCCTCCCACCCAACACCATTTCCATCATCTGACCTTCCCCACCCACAAACTCACCTGCTTCACATTATCCTAATCAGCCTTGTAGTATACAATATATCCAGGCCCATCTCCACTCAGTCCCTATCAGATTGTCTTGTTTAATCCACCCTAGCTCCTCGGCCTTCTTTTCTGCCTGTCCCCTGTCTGTTACTGAATACCAAACTTTATAAAGATTGAAGTCTGACACCCTCTCGTCTCTAAAGACGTTTTTAGTCACACACTGTAAGATTTTGCAAAGACTGGGGATCTCGTAGGATCATTATTTGCAAGGCTACAGCGAGATTCCTTTTGAGATTATTTCCCATCCTGCTCCCTATAGAAAATATTACACCAAACTTCTTTTGAGAAATGTGATATATAAACAATTCTTTCTGTATCAACAAAAACACATAACTCTAGAAAAAGAAAAACAATCAAGTGTATTTGCATTTAAACTTAACATTTTGGATTTTGTTGCCTCAACTCACCACCAAGCTTTGCTGGTCAGCTGCTCCATTAAGTGGTAGGAGACCATGGGAATAACAAGCAAACAATCAATATTTAGGATTTATCACTAATAGACTAGTCTGTTTGTTGTTTACTGTCTACCGGGTTTACTTCTTCTTGTTTGCTGCTGGGGAGAGCTCAGGTAATTGTTGTTGACTAGACGAAAGACTAAAACTAAAACCTTATGATGATATTAAAAATGTTTGATTTTGTTGGATGGCAAGATGAGAAAAAGACTGACTTAAGACAATTTAAACTGAGTTTTGTGACCACCTCATGATTTTATTCTGACATTGGAAATTTATCTGTGACAGTGAAATTGCTTGAAAAGTCATTTGGTGTTAGGCCAGCATAATTTTGCCTATCTGGACAGGTCACCTGGTTTTGACTCTTGCCTGTTGTTGAACTCCAGTAAATAAGAACTTCTATATTACACTGACTGTCTTTGTGTCATGCTTTGGGGTTTGACGTTGTATTGTTTCTAAACCTTTACACTTTGTGTCATATAATTCAATTCAAATGAAATTCATAAAGCAATATGCCAATAAAATCTAAGGGTCTTGTTATACTCTATAAATGATTTTTAATCCACACACTACCTCTTTGTTTCTTTTCTCATTTTTGGCCATGAGTGATGGATTACCATGTTATCTGGTGTACACATTCTTCTTCCCATCAGGATGAACTGTAATAGATTTGGTGATCCTTGAACTTTTCATTTAGTGTGATCCTCAGGCTAAAATTTTAAAGTACCCAACTCTTTAGTACCTAACTGTAAACCAGGAACATCCCCATCAGCAGCACTTTGTGTTTAGTGCTGGTTGGTTGGTGAGTATTAGCATGCTAACATAGTAAACTAAGATGGTAAACATGGTGTACATCAGCATGCTAGCATTGTCATCGTGAGCATGTTAGCATGCTAACATCAGTATTTAGCTCAAAGCACCTCTGTACCCACATACAGCATCACAAGTTGTTTGCATGGCTGTTGACTCTTGTTCTTGACATATGTTCTACTTCTCTCAGCTTTACTTGATACAGTAACTGACTGGTTAGTGGAAAGCTCTTTGTTCGGTTAAAATAAAACACATTCCACAGGTTTTTAATCATTTTGTTTCGAATTTTACTTAAATGCTCAAAAGATAGTTTTCTGATGCTTTATCCACAAACAGTTCATAAACATCTTCTGACAGTATTCATCAATGTGCCACAAAACTGTTATAAAACACATATATGGAGATAAAGTGATAAAAGATACAAACATTTCATCATATTTGAGTTTACTTGGTGTTTAGTTTTCTGTGTTTAGTTTTTACAAATCATTTTGAAAGTTTCTAAAGCATTACCATGGGAAAAACAGCTTTTTTAAAAAATGTGTTGCTAATTTGTTAGATAGTGTAAATTATTTTTTTCTTACCGTAAAGCAGTGAAAAACTGATGAAAAGCAGCCTGGCTATCTTTACTTCTTTCATCTTGTTTGTGACAGTGTTACTGACAGTGCCTCACTTTCATAACTTGTCCCTGCAATTTACAGGGTACAACTGGATAGTCTTAGGGAATAGTGTTTCTTGTTTCTGATTGGCTCAACTCAACTTACAGCTTTTCCTTCTGCTTAATTTGTATGCATGTCTTGTTTGTCAAAACAACAGTGTTGCAGTGTTGACCATAAACTAATCAAGCAAGGATGTCTGGAAATATCTGATGTCAGTTTTCAAACATTTTTAACACACACCTCAGCATATGATGAGCCTAATCAAGTACTTTGTTAATCTGCTCTGCACCCATATTGACTCATTTATCTGAATGTAATCTATTTAAAAAATAATAACACACAAACAAGACAGTTTATGTCTCTTTCTTGTCTTTGTGCTGCATATGTCTGAGCAGTACAGGCCTGGACTTGTCTTACTTAGGGAAAAAACCAAAAAGAAAAAGTTTGTTAAGGACATGAACAGGAGATTTCCCATGGGTAAAAGCAAATATTTGTTGGTAAAATGGTTTGTTGAAACATGCAAATATTTGTTGCTTGACTGAACATACAGTATACAACACATTGAAATAGGGGGAGAGGATATAGTGCGAAGGTGTGATGTAACATGTTACTTTCAAATAAAAGATTTCAGCCATTCTTTCCGTTTCCTCTCTGTTTATCAATAAATCACAAGGAGTATGAGAACATGTGCACAGTAGTCCCTCCAGGATTTCAAGGTTTTTTGGGGGATCATCGTGGTCTCAACATAGATTGCATAAAATCATGGACAAAGCCACTGTGATGACACCAAGTGGATTGTGGACTCCCGTTTTGAAGCCTTAAGTTCACCATCTTGGTTTTTTGGAGCCAAAAGTGGCCATATTTGGGTGAGAGGCTGCCACTGTGGGGTAATCTGGGGTGGATCTGACTGAGAAGTTGAGGAAACTCAAAGTGTCCATTCAAAGTGAAGTGAAAAAGTTAGAAATATCTCAAACCAGTCCCAGCAGTGACTTATGATGAAGTAGTCACTCTACTTCCTTCCGTTAGGCCCGGGCCCTGAGGCAACATGAAATGGACACTCCCGTCTTCCCAGATTCAAGAACCACCAGCAACAACAAATTAAGTGTTTATTTATTACAAAGTTTGCAAAGGGACAACTTGGCTTCAGGCATAGCAAAATGTAACAAAATGAATGTTCTCACATTTCCTACTTAATATGACAACTCCCTGACCTAAAACTCGAAACAGGAGAATAATGATTCACACAATCATTCACTCAGCCAATCAGGGATGCTCAGTAGACTTACCTGAGAGGTGGGTGAAAATCCTTGGCTCCATGTTGTCACGGATTTATAAAGCACCTGGTAGACAGTGTACAGCAACTACTGCTTGCAAAGCACTCCACCACACACTGTAAAAAAAAACCTGATTCTTTGATTCGGGCAAAGAGGAAACAGAAACCATGATGAATGGAAATTGCATTTCCTTTGACTACTAACAATAATAGTCAAGTAGCCTTTCTGACTCACCAGTGAAATGTTTTAATGTGAAGTCAGCAGCAAAAAGAAATGTTTGGTTTGCATTAGCAATAAATTATTACACCCAGTTCATAATACTGCAAATATATATCAAGGCCTATTTCAATACCTACATCAGTGGGCCATAGGCTCAGTGACCATCATGTTGCCTCATTTGGCAAAATAAATGAATAAATAACTAAATAAATAGATAAATAAATGAAAGAGTAAAATAAAAATAAAAATGAAAATAAAATAAAATAAAATAAAGATAAAAATAAAACTAGCTAAAATATGAAGGAGAATTAACCTGGGGTTGGCTTTCACTAGCTTTTCCGAGAGCCTTTAAGTGCATCTCCATGACAAATGAACAAACTCCATTTAAGAGTTTATTAGTTTATTTAGCTTTTTAGTCAAGCTTTGGTTAAGATTATTTTCATCCAACTACTACTTCTAAGATCAAGAATGAAGAATGAACTTTCACGCTCAGTTGCATAAAAAATGATTAAAATAAGGTGAAGCAGCAGTAATAGTGACAGAAGTAATACAAAAATAATCATGATGATGTATTGTACCTCTAGCAGGTGGGTGAAGGGAGACTGTGATGCGGTTGCTCATCTTTTTTGGAGGGAGACAAACAACAACAGCAAGATATCGTAGCACAAGGACACTGAGCCAGTGAGGCACCTTTCTGTACTTGCTGGTGCTGAACTGGATGTTGGTGATAAACACTGTCTCCAACAGGCTGGCCACCATCAGAGCCAGACTGACTGAGAATAAAACATCTGCAGCAAAACAAACAAAACATTTAAGAAGTAAAGATACTTTTTTCATTTTAACTTTAATTATCAAGGGCAGAAAGCATATTTACATTTATATTCAGTTAAAATTCAGTCTCCAGAGGAGCCATCAGAGGACAAGGTATTAATTGGTCAACAATGGCATCTGGTCAAGAAGAAGAATTGGCCACAGTGGTTAATCCTATACAACAATATATCACAGGTGTCACTCACTCATTAGTGGTGTTGTATTTCCAGTGACAGGCAGCAGGTCATTCATGATGAGCAGGAAAACGGTGTAGCCCAGGATAAGGGTCATCTTAAAGGAGGACCGATCCACACTTTGGGGAGGCAGCAGGAAGCTGAAGAGGTCCAGTGTGATGAGGAAACGGCTGGGCAACAGGAGGTTTACCACATAAAGGATTGGCCTACGTCTCAAAATGATCTTGGGATAAAAACAAATACAAATTCTTAAAGTTTTACTCAGAACTTACAATAGACGTTTGCCAGGCCTTTGGTGCTCCCCAAGGATCAATCATCGGTCCTCTTTTGTTCTCTGTTTACATGTGTACACTATATGAAATAATCCAAATAAACAACAGCCACTACAGTCAGTTCTTAAAACATTTTTTAAATACCAATCTTTTTGCCAGCTTTTGTTAAATTCCTTCACTGTTAGTGTGTCCAGCATCCATGATGCTTCTCATCAAACATGACATTTGTCATAACTGATACTGTTATATTTCATTGTTTTTAAGTATTGACATATTTTGATCCAGATTAAGAACCTTGATGCATTATTTTATCAAAAAATGTAAACCTTTTTTTAGACTGGTAGTAGTAGAATAAAAAAGACCCTGGTATACTACCCACAGCTGTGACCTGCCATGCTGAGATGACTAGAAGATTCATCAAATAAATAAAATCACACACAGTTTCTCCAAGGTGTTACATCTGATTTAACAAACCTTAAACAGATAATCAGTGGTATGCATCATGTGAACATACTGTAGAATAAAATAAAATAATAATAAAATTTTGTGCAGGCTTACCAAAGTGCAGGTATGATTCAAAGGTCAGTGAGCAGTTTTGGATATCAAAGGGGAAAGTGTAGATGACTAATTTGCAGGTGGCGATCACTCTGACCGGCCTATTATCAAATACACGACCTGTGTTGTATAAGTAGACATATGGGGTTTTGGGAGATTTGTCCTCGTCCATGCTGGAAATGAACAAAATAAAAAACTCTTAATTGCACGTTTTTTTGTTTGACAGGCTACGAAACATAATTTTAACTAACAACTCGCTGATGATGACGTATGACGTATAT